AATTCCATTAACAAAGGTAGAAAGAACTAACCAAAAATGCGTATATCTTTGGACATTAAAAAAAAGAAGCTAATATTGTTTGACGTAGATCTTTTCGAAATCCTTCATCTCAATTTTGCATTGCCTTCTGTCTTCTTTTTGCTTCCAACACAAATTATTTGTTTTCTCTTGTAAATATAATCTTGCTTTTCCAGTCATCTCCACAATCCTGGAATAATTCTAGGTCTGTTTTGACTAGAAAACATCATTTTAATTGAATAGCTTTATTTAATACCACGGGATTCTATAGAGAAGGAGCTGATCTCACTAGATGATGAGATGAATAGATTTCCAGGGCCATGACACCACAGCTTCTGGACTTTCCTTCACCATCTACCTGCTGGGACTCCACCCTGACATCCAGGAGAAAGTCCGGTCCGAGGTCCTGGAACATCTAGGTCCGTTGGAGCAGCCAATGACACCTGAAGGTCTCAAAGAGCTCCGATATCTTGAGATGGTCATCAAGGTAACTACTCAATTCAATGATGAAACAATTTATTAGCGGTTTTCAATCTAAGAATAAGAAATTCTGAAATTTCCAGATGAAAGATGGAAATAAATTGGTCGATTCTTCTCCAGTTCAATCTATGATCGCTTTAACCATCGAATTGTTTATCCTTATTACAGAGTTATCTTGTGAAATTTTATCCTTGGTGAGAAGGTGAAAGAGAGCTCTATACAGAAAATCTTTTTAAAATTGTATAAATGTTTAAAACACACAGAAAATATAAATATATGATAAAGTTTATACATTTTTAGTAATAGAATGCTGGTATATAAATAATAATATATTTTTTCCTCACAATCATTAATAACTAGTTTAGACAAATTTCAAACCTTGAATATATCTTAACATATATGCATATTTTTCTTTAAATTTTAGCAGCTAATAAGCATATATTTTTGTCGTTTATGAGGCAGATCTTTTATTATCAAAGTTTTTCGACTTGTAGTAAGAATTTCTCAACATTTGATAAGATTATCTGTTATAGAATTACTTAAACATTTCATAAATTAAAAGTCTTCAAATTCGTGGGCTGTTTTAGGAAAGTCTGAGGCTCTATCCTCCAGTCATGCATTTCTCCCGTGAACTCCAATCCGACATCGAACTCGGTAAATCCCAATCCTGATGTCATAACTGGGGACAATATGTAAACTTGTCTAGGAGGGAAGAAGATCCCAAAAGGAGTTGTCATCGCAGTCCTACCCATGGGATTCCATCTTAATCCCACCTACTTCCCCAGACCTGAGATCTTCGACCCTGAACGCTTCAATCTGGAGAACTCCAAGAAACGTCATCCTTTTGCCTACATTCCTTTCTCCGTGGGACCACGCAACTGCATCGGTACTTTTATCCTTTAATTAACTATGATAAACGCCACAAAAATGTTGCCTTTTTAGAGTGTTCTAGTGGTAATCCTACTTTTTGCTGGTATACATGTGCCTATGGAATCAACAGACAATATAGAAACTATATTTCTGTTATTAATATAACAATTTAAATATTTGTGTGGATGTGTTGATATTACTATATGAATTAGTAATGCATGCATTTAGTAAAACGTACGAGATTTTGAGGCAATATTTTGGCTCTTTTTCAGAAATAAAATCCATTCGAAAGGTTGTTTTTATCTCTAGCATGTTCATTTTGAGCTTAGAATGAAGATACCTGATTCTCTTCCATGGTTTAATATTATCAAATATTTTCTAGAAATTCCATTATTATTTTAAACCTCGTAATTTTGTATACAACGCAATTTTGCAGGTTGTTTTCATAAACATTAGAAAAATGAAGTATTAAAACAAAGGTTGATATTGTAACTAAATCAAAAAGGAATCTAGGGCTTGGTTTTTTCATAATTCTTTTATTTCTCGAGCTTTAGGGCTAACATACTCTTCAATACGGAGATCTCAGTATTATAATTCTTGAAAAAAGTATTATAATTAGATAGAAGTAGTACTTCTGGTATCTCCGTGTTGAAGGTTATGTTAGCCCGAAATCTCGAAAAATAAAAGAATTATGATCAGAAACCAAGCCCCAGTTTCCTTGTAGATTTAGGTAAAATGTAAAAGCATGGACAAATCTTTATTAAAGATTGATATTAAATTTAATTGCCATCTATCGTTAAAATTTTACACAAATAAATTCACTGGCAATGCGTTTCTTTTAAATATCATCAAATATTATTTCTACAGACCTTACTGCAATGATATGAGTTATTGAATGAGAGGGCTTGGCTCATCAGTAGTGAACCCTCTCAGCGGTTTCGCCAAATTAATCTCTAGACCGCTCTACTATTGTATTGGATTGGTTTGGAGTATACCCTCTATTTTTTATAGTAGAGCGGTCTAGAGATTAATTTGGCGAAACCGCTGAGGGTTCACTACTAATGAGCCAAGCCCTCTCATTCAATAACTCATATCATTGCAGTAAGGCCTGTAGAGATAATATTTGATGATATTTAAAAGAAACGCATTGCCAGTAAATTTATTTGTGTAAAATTTTAAAGATTGATATAAAAATAATTTTTAAATCTCAAAAACAATTTTGTAGTAAAAACAAAATCAGTAATTATTTATCATATAATGATAATATCGTCTGTTTCAGGTCAGAAATTTGCCATGTTGGAAATGAAGGCGGTCCTCGCTTCCATTGTCAGAAGATTCTCAATCAAGTCACGTGATCATATAGATCGTCTGATACTGATACCTGAAGTAGTTTTGAGAACAAACGAACTAATTGTCAACTTTCAACCTCTACCTTCGAATTGATGATGTCTAAAAGAATTTCAAATAAAGACTCAACACAGTAAACTTGTAGATGGAAATTTTGTAAAAACTTGTATATAGGAAGTGAACAATATTTATATAATAAAATATTTTAGAGCTAAAATAGAATATTCAGAAAAATACGGGGAACAGAAATAAATTACCACAAAATAGATTAAGAACTAAAACCCAGGGACTAAGGTTGGACCTTTCAACCTTAACTTTCCTGTTCCCTGTTTTCCTGTTGTGGAGTTATATGGCTCCAGATTGTCATGGTTATCTAAAGGGAACTTCATCCTTTCTTTAACTTTATTATTTCCAATCAAGTTACAATAATATGAGATATTTGGATTTTATATTATTTTATTCATTTATAAAGGCCACCTCTCTCTCTCTCTCTCAATCCGCTCCCGACTCTAAATCTTAATATTGAATAGGTAATTAAATTTCGTGTAAGTGACATAGTAATATTTGAAATTTTCTAATTTGCAGTAATTTCATTCACTTCACAAAGTCTTGTTGAATTTTTTTAGAATAATCAGAAGTATTTGAAAATAGAGCAATCCATAAATAAATATTTAATTAAAAAGACATATATTGGATCATAATATCATTTATTTTACCATTATTTCAGTTGGCTGAACACCAACCTTTATCAAGGTATTATAACATATTTAAATAACACATAAACATTACACACATTAAATATGTTATAATACCTTGATTAAAGTTGGCGTTCAGCCAACTGAAATATTGGTAAAATAAATGATATTTTGATCCAATATATGCCTTTTAAATTAAAAAAATCAGAAGTATTTGAAAATATTTCAGGTCTTGAAAGCGATATTAAACGAAACACAACCTGATCTCTGAAGGGCCCCATCCACTTCGCCCATCAGCGTGGCAGATATCCCTACTTAATCCGCCCCCGACTCTCTCTCGGTAAAATAGACGCTAAAACTAAGCGCTATCTATTATATATTATGCTGATCTTAATTTGCCTTTGGGTACCGTCGTTTATTGAGGAATACAGTCTACAAAACCTGTTAAACTTCACACATATATTCAAACTTATGTCTTGTGATATCAACAACAACAACAAAACCTTTATTAAGACACTATTGTCTTACAAGGGGATTCCCCTAAAAGGTTATATATGTACATGAGTGAGGAGGAAAAACAATTTAGAAGGGAGGGGGAGCAATCAGCCGTTGTCTGTGGAGTTGAGCACTTCTTCCCTCATTTTATCAATCACCTTGAAATTTTAAAATATTTATAAACAAATGTTTTATCCAGCAGGAGAGTAGTAAACATTTTATATACATGTTGTTCATTGTAGTGAGTTAGCCCCGAAATTTCGTGAATTTCCAGTCTCTTTTCTTGTATAAATGGGTAATGGAATAGATAAATGTCTTGTGATATCTGTTCGATATTGTTTTCTCAAGTCGGTAAAAATTGCACAACGGATTAAGATATTAGTTTAAAGATTAAAAATTAAAAACAAAAATTCTAACCAGAATGCTAAGAAAAAGTGAGTCACACTATCAAAATAGGAATTGTGTTGTATTTTAAACAAGAAAATTTAAAATATTTTGTATAGTGCCTTGTGGGAAACTGCTAATTGAAATAATTGAAGCTTAATTGTTTTATTCTTTCTTATCTCCACTCAATCATATTAGGGTATCATGTTGTGACCATTGATGGTGTGATACCCATCATGACTGGGTGAAGTAGAATGCGTCTGCCTTTGTCATTAAGACTGGGAGCACTACTTAGTGGCAGGCCGACTTAGCTCCAAAAGAAATGGCCGACTCTGACATGAGGAACAGTAACATGTGCAGCCGCTCCTAACATGAAGTACAAACGCTGCTCATCCTGTATCTCTGGATAAGGAGCCCTTACAGGGTACTATCAGCCGGGCCAGCTGAACCCAGGTTTTTTAGCGAGCTTGTTACTGCTCCCCCTCCTCCTTTTTTATACGGGGTTTGGACTGGCCAAGGTGGAGTTAAGCTTATTTGTTATTCGTTCTACCATAAAGGTAGCCTTTTAGTAAATCGGATAGAATGTTCAAGGGTATTAGAAATTGTAAGAATTAAAATATACAAGTATCAGAGTCATCAATCAATTCTTAATTCTGTCACCGTTTGCTTTTGTGAATGGAATAAATACCCAAATATGGCCATTTCTTATAAGCATCGGTAGTTCAACGGCGAGAATGCTCCCCTGCCACGCGGCCGGCCCGGGTTCCATTCCCGGCCGATGCATTTTTTTTACAATTTTTAAAACTCATTTATTTAAACTATATTAATTTTGAAACAACTAAATGGATTGCAAAAAATAATTAAATCAAATACCTAAACACTAATATAATACAATTTTTGCCATTACACACTTTTTTTCCTGTAGTTTATGTGTTTCTTCTGTATTGCTATTCTATGGCACTTCTACTATTTATTATTGATGTACTTTCAGTATGAAGGATACTTCACTCGGGGGATTTCTCGGGCGAAGCCGGGTCATTCTTCTAGTCAATATATATTTTTAAAAAGTTTAGATTAACAGAGCCAACATCTAAATCAACAACAACAAAAGCTTTATTAAGGAATTTCTCATTGTAATGATTCGCCATATAAAAAGGAAAAAGAAAAAATAAAACAAAATATTTGCATAATTAAGTGTATGAGAAGAAAGTTGTTTTATATATACTTGTTTAAACTTTTATGTTGTGAGGCTATTTTTTTCTAAGACCGATTTATGATAGTGTTCTATAGCTATGTTTCATTTTTATGATGTGATTTTAATCAATTTAACTGATTCAACATATATATTTTTACAACAATGGATTTTATTGTTAAGGATTCCTTATCTCAGATAGTTACTGGATAGTTAATAGGCTGGATGCCTAAATTCTAAATAGGTAGTAATAAGAGAAAGAGGGATTCCCAAGCCAGGAAGAGTTTTCAGAATTTGCCTCAATATAAGAAATGTCTTTGATATTAAGCTGCACTTCGAGAAGATCTATGGAAATGATCGTAACAACACTAAAGATGCAAAATATGATCGAAGTTTTGAAGGCCGCACCTTGAAAAAATTCAAAATTGATCGGGCGGCACTATGACTGCAAGATTCTGGTTTCACATGCCATTTCAGAGGCTCGAAGAAATTATCAAGGATCCAATCCAGCTGTAAGAGCTAGCGGTTGATTTTAGAAAGCCACTACGTTGTGAATATTCAAGGAATTGATAAAAGTGGTTTCACGGTAGCAAGAATTGACCGGCAGTTTATAGTCTACACGTTGCGAAGGCTAAAACAATTGATCAGGTAACCACAACGGCTCCAAGTTCTAGGCGATGGATTTAGAGGTCGATGTTGAAAAAGGCTCAAGGAATTAATCAGAGTAGAAAAATAGCCTCAATATCTGGCCAATGGCTTTAGAATCCGCACGTTGAGAAGGCTCAAGCAATTGATCAGGAAACCACAACGGCTTCAGAGTTCTAGCCAATGGATTCAGAGTCCGCATGTTGAAAAAGCACAAGGAATTGATCAGTTCGGCCCCACGGCTTCAAGACCTAGCCGATGGTCTTAGAGTCAGCATTTTAAGAAGTCTCAAGGAATTGACCAGTTCAGCCCCAAGGGCTCAAGATCTAGCCGTTGGCTTTAGAGTTCCCATGTTGAGAAGGTTCAAGGAATCAATCAGTGTGATCCTACGGCCTCAAATCTAGCCGATGATTTTAGAGTCCGCATTTCAAGAAGGCTCAAGGAATTGACCAGTTCGGCCCAAGGCCTCAAGTTCTATCCCGTTGGCTTTAGAGTCCACGTGTTGAAAAGGCTCAAGTAATTGATCAGGACACCACAACGGCTGCCAAGATCTAGCCGATTATTTTAGAGTTCACATGTTGAAAAGGCTCATGGAATCAATCAGTGTGATCCCACGGCCTCAAGATCTAGCCGATGGTTTTAGAGTCCGCATGTTGAGAAAGCTCAAGGAATTGATTAAAGCAGCACAACTGCCTCAAGATCTAGCCGAAGGCTTTAAAGTCCGAATTTCGAAAAGCTCAAGGAATTAATCAATTCAGCACAACGGCTGAAAGATCTGGCCAATGGTCTTACAGGCTCTAGTTGGAAATGCCAGTTCAAGTGATCGAGGGGTACCATGATTTTAAGATTTACAGAAATATTGTTGGCTCATTCCTGTATAGGTAAGTAGAAGTTTTATCCGATAAGATTTCCAATGAATGTTCGCTATATCTGAACAAATTCCCATTTCAACGTAATCACAATCTACCAACAGTATTCGTTATTATAGTCGAAATTTTGTGACCTTTCTCCTGGTATAAACATATCTATGTCTTCTTTTTTTTTAATATTAACACCTGACCTTTTAAAAAAATATTTTCTATTATTTTTTCACACACACACACATATATATATATATTAAAAATGGCATATCCTGACCAGGAGCACATGTGCTTTTCAGAAGGCAGAGCGCCATCTGGTGGAACAGAAATCAACTATTCATTGATTTAGCCTGTTCCCTGATATTTGGCCAACCCATTAAAAATGGCATATCCTGACCAGGAGCACATGTGCTTTTCAGAAGGCAGAGCGCCATCTGGTGGAACAGAAATCAACTATTCATTGATTTAGCCTGTTCCCTGTTTGGCCAAATATCAGGGAACAGGCTAAATCAATGAATAGTTGATTTCTGTTCCACCAGATGGCGCTCTGCCTTCTGAAAAGCACATGTGCTCCTGGTCAGGATATGCCATTTTTAATATTGATTTCAACACCTGATCTTTTTATCTTTTATTTTTTTTCTTTCGTTTTTTAATATATATATATATATATAAATGTCATAATTTGCCTAATGCCCAATAGATATAATTTATTTTCGCCATAATTAATATGTTTAAATGTAAATACAAATTAATCCATCTATAAATCTATACAAAATAAACGGGGGAGCCAGCGCGCGCGGGCGAACGCTACGGCCACCGCCGCGTGCGCGTGCGCTCAGGAGTGTGGAACAAGTTTTTTTTCGAAGCGTACATGCACAACGGTCGCGCCCTTCCATTCGACCACGACAGCTACGACATATATATATTACGAAAAATATTTCCTTTTAATTTTAGAATATTTTATATATAATAATTGATCATTTGCTTAATACATAAATACGAGTATTATTATGATATTTGCTGGTTCTATTGAGTACCTTGGTACTGATGATATTGATATGTAGGCATGGAAAATCTTGGAAATATAAACATTTTAGATCATTATTGCTTTAAATTTAGCTTATTAAATATTTAAAACATATATTTAGAAAGGTATTGCCTAATTTAAGACTTAATAATAAAGAAAACAAAAGATTATTTACATAATTACAAAATGAGCAGAAAATACTTTTTATAATTATACTTTTTTCGTAATATATATATATATATGTCATAATATATGCTCTTACAGGAATAATAAAGTAAATCTGCAGTCGACGAGAGAGAGATGAGCAGCTAAAGCGAGACACTTTAGACAACTAACTCACGACCATTTTGACCACATTCCTGAGGGGGGGGGGGCGTCACCACCTGGCGACTATCCTGGTTATCCCCCGGTTGTGTACACAGGGAAAACAGTCGTTCAGCTGAGAACGTCTCGCTCGCTCTCTCTCGGCTGGCTGCCTGGATGATTGCTCTAACAACTCGTCGTGTGATTATTTCTCTCCTCGCCACATTTACCACTATTTTGTCACATTGAAAAGTCGACAGGATAAGACCTGGCCGGGAAGCGAATCCCTCATATACCGGAGTATGAAGAAACAAGAAGCCAAGCCACGATGATCGACCAAACCCAACTCAACTGTAACCACTCCTCTTCGAGCCCTCAACCCATTCCTCGCCAACCTTTGAACCGTGATCCCGAAGAAGTATTCACCTACGACAGAGATGGAGCTGCCACGCACTTCTTCCAGCACTAGATCTACTCAAGAACGATCGCCGTGCCAGAGCAGGACACCTCCCGCCATCATGGACAAGACTCCGCCATCTCCCTACCGCTAATGTGATGTACAACACTGGTACGCACAGTGTCACAGACAGAACTCTCCCGAAGCTCAATGAACTTACCTGCGCCCTAAACCAACATAACTCGTGAGTGTAATTGTCTTAACTCCTACCATTCATTCTTTAAATAAGTCATTCCTTGTAGATTGTCCCAATATTTCCATAATTAGCTCAATATGTGTGAATAAGTAAAAATATTTAATATTTCCATTTATCTCTCCACCCCTATTAACAGTGATCTTATTATCCATATTATATCTAGCTATGTGAAACTCATTTAATTAGTTACCTTACCAGTAGATGTAACAATCGTCATTTTAATTAAATAATTTCCATTTAACGTAACTCTTTAAAAAAAAATCTTAAAAAAAAAAAAGGAATTCTACCTATTAACGCTTTACGATTTTTACTATTAACAATAGATTTTTCATAATCAAATTATTTATAAAATATGCCTCCAGCACCTAAACTTTTGTATAGACATCTTCTTCTTGTAAGCACGGCTCACGAAAAATAATTTCTTTCCCTAATCGATTCAAAATTCACCCTATAATTCAGGCGTCGAAGAATTCCAACCACCACGTGAGCCTTGCTTACAACCAACCCTTGGTGACTCTTATCTATCTTCCCCTTAATGCCCCTCTCATTCTTACAACTTTGTTAACCTTATACCAGCTCAGGACCTTTATAGAGAATTATTGATTAATCAATTATCGAACTTCTATATTGTCATTTCAAAATCCTAACATTCGCCCTTCATTTATGATAATTTATTACGTAGTTCATCTCTAGCCTATCCACCCCCCCACACCATCTAGCCAATGGTGTGTTCGTCACAGGGTGCAGATTGACTAACTGCTAGATATTTATCAACCCCTTTTTGTTCGCACTTGAACAATCTGCATCGAGCGACACAGTTCACTCCTTCTTCTTGCGCCACACGTTCGCCACACGGACCCTGTCTTCAAATCTATGTTTGTCCCTTGTTCAAACCAGCACGATATAGCCTACCTCCGATATTTCCCACGGAGGTACGTTAAACATCGTCGCTGATTTTGTCCGGTCCGTCATCATTTCGCGCAGACATGGGTCTTACTTTCAACCCACCGCGAAATCATCGCCTTGCACAAGCTCCCACGACGGTTCAAACGCCTCGTGTCCGAGCAGCTTGTCACTTGTAACGGACAACGCAGTCCTCGTCC